CTAGACATCAGGGTAGGGTTGGATTTTTCTGCTACCTCCCTCAGTTGTATGCAGTATCGCAAACAGGCTCAGTCGTCATTGAAGCGCTATCTTTCTGCTTCAGGGAAGACTAGCATAATAGACCGTCCTTGTTCAGCCTATCAATGATAATTCACCTTGACTTCACCAGGTTGTTGATGGTGATATTAATAACGATAGCATCAGTACTCATGGTAGCTAATCCAAGAGGGATAGATTATGACTAAAACCGTCAAGTGGGGCAATTGTGGGACAGAAATAAGGAAACGAATGCAAGAACTTCCTGACTGTACCATATATGTTAAATTATTTGACCACACATGGGACCGCGGATCCATTTCGTCTTGCTTCTTCGTGCTTTATGCCATATCATTGACTGATCACATCCGGATTTCTCTCAACTAGTCGCATTATTGATAAGCAATGCACTTTGACAGCTGGCTTACAGGCATGCAGGTTACAGAACGAAGTCTATAGACGCCATTCGAATTCTAATGGCACTGTGGTGACGGCCTATAGCCTTAAGGATAAGAAGCCTGCCTTGTAATCCGAGGACGCGAGTTCGACCCTGCATAGGGACCCGGCGGCTCTCGCTGGTTGCACTGCAGCGAAGCGTCGGTGCTGCGCACCGTTGTACTGCTGATGCCTAGCGACGAACACATATGGTTCTCTCACCAATCACCGGCTGTACTGCGCAGGCATCAGTGTTCAACCACTGTCAATTCCGTAATATATTCTCCATGCAACAACTGGATCTTTGGCTCCTACATCACCACTGGCTGCGTCACAGCTCTGTAAACACTTCCCCTAAGCAATCGTTTTTTTCACCGTGGCTGCAGGTGTCTGAAGCTCTGAAAACCCATACGAGTCTCGGGTTGCGGACACTTAACCGGGTGACTCGCTCCACCGCTTCTGACCACCTGGATGTATTAAGACGTTTCAGCGTAATGGCGAGCTTATCTTCTACCAAAATAATGATTTACCTGAATTTCATCCAAATGGTCTGCTGACGAATGATGCTTACAAGCTATTTTGGGACGGTGCTCGTGAGGTTAATCATTTGTGATTTTGCGTCTGATTTAAGTTTCTTGATGATCATTGTTAGGTGCCTGTCTGACATTTTTAGTGATATGGACAGCTGTTAAACAGTTCAGTAATGAGTCGTTATCATGTTTCATCAGCGAGGGGTAATTGTCGTCCACGATTGGCGTCCTAGTTGAGCAGTGTCGTTTGGCATCGAACTCTTTCGATGTTATGGACCATGTTGTCGGCGTCCATATGGTCTCAAATTTTCCAACCAGCCACAGTGGAGCATCAGAATGATTCCGTTGCTTTTCGATATGTTATACTCTTTGTTCAATTCTGGAGGGTTGCAAGTGAATTTGCTCCCATCTGCACAGTTATTTCACTCACTGAGATTGTCCTTCGGGTTATTTCACTTGTTAGCCCTCAACTGTTCCAGTAACTCAGATTTTTCTAATTGTGAGGGTCCTTCACAGTAGGTTCAAAGTCATATAGCCTCTCACATGTCTGAAAAGCACTAGACAGCTGTTCCATCCTATCAGGACTCATCAGTTTTGCGCATCCTTCTAATTCATCCGAACTGGCCTCTCGCCACCGTGGACTTACGCCACTAACCAGCTTCTTAAGCCACCAAGCTATGGGGGACGGCGTCAGGTTATTATGACTTACAAGGCAATTGGATGTGTAGTACGGATCATCTTCTACTGTCGACCAGTGGCCGAAAGAATTTCACACATGCATTGTACAGTTCTGAGGTCGCCGTTTCGAATCCGCATAGGTGCAACTGTTTATGGTCGCGTTGCAGCGGACCGTCTGGACAATGTGTGGGCATAGTCCTGGTACCTGTCTTTTGCCTCCACTGCCATGCAGAAGACTGATTGGTCCGTATAGCTGCATCTTCACATACCATCAGCTGCGTATGACAACACGACGCATGGGAGTCTATTTGACTTGAAACTTACCTCGAAGAACCCCCAACTAATTACATTAAAATCCTGCTTGCAAGAATCTCAGATCTTCATAACTCCATTTACCTTCACCGTCTGTGAATGCTCTGTCGGTTCTAAAGGTTCTAGTCAGACTCCATTTCTGAGTATTATATACATTCTATGTCTGATTTCTCGGCGTGAGAATTTCCTCGTCCCAATTAGGCTGATAGATCCGTCAGCCTTCCCTTTTTACAGTTTGACGTGCGATGGGCTTCGAAAACTTGACTCACATCAGCATTGATTACAGCCGTGTTCAAGTCGTCAGTATAAATTTCCTGTACCCAAATGGGTACATTTTCAGCATTTTACATTATCAACTGTACATATAAGAAAGCTGAGTTTACAAACGGGTAGAAAGATGGGAAAGGTGTCATAACTCTATCGAGCAGCGATCTCGTAGTGCTGGACTAACTACTCGATTTGTATTCATTCAAAACGGAAAAGGCTTCAATAAAGCTTTTCTTCCTCATTCATTTCAGTTGATGTAAAAGTTTGTATCCGTAGGCGGTAGATCGGGGGTCGTGCGTGATATCTCAGCGTTCATATTCAAATAATGCACAGAGTATTCTGGTCTCAGTGACCTTGGCAGTCGGTCGCACAAAATAAATGTTGGCTTATTTTTGCAAAACTATTAAATCTACACTAGCTAAAGTAGAATGATGATTTTCAGCGAAAAAGGCAGCGATCGATCTAAAGGCATCGCCCCACAGGCTCCTTCACTCTATGTACGTCCACGGTAGAAGTCACTCCGCCTCATTTCGGTTGTACTATTCCATCAACAACCAGTTGGGGGGACGGCTGGCCAACATCATATAGCCAGACGTTTGCCAATTCCGATGCAATTTGTTACTTTGACGTTAGTTGGGACCTGATTGTCATGATTGCTCGTAGTTCGTAACGTCCGATAATCGGACGCTGACGTGATTATTACTCTAGTTAGTGAGGACTATAAGAAGGCCCCCTAACCAAAAGTTTTGACCACATGGCACCGTTACAAAGTACCACATCACTACTGGTGAAGCCGCTGTTTGGTGCAAGTTATCAGCATTACACCAATGCTTAATGTTTGTGCTTCGCTGCCATGCAACCACAAACAACTGTACGCGGTCTGGGATATTGTCACTATGTTACCTTTACAGTATACTTATTTGTGATCATACGAATGATCCTTGAACATCGTCAATATAATAATTAAACAAACGTGCCGATGTAGAAGTGCTGCATTGCTTCAGATACCACCAATCTTCTCTGAGCACTCTGATACCCGTTGGTTCCCATCTTGCACTGATTTCGCAATGCAGTCCTATATTTTAACTTGCGACCACTGAAACACCCACCAGCTTCTCAACAGATGTGAAGATTGCGCTCATCGTAGCTGGTATCGGACTTCGTTGCGACACACTTGTTATGTACACGCCTCGAATTTGCGTTGAACAAAAACACCCTACGAAAGTGTGAGCTCGGGAGTGTATTCCTCGCTGGTGTTTATACACACAATTTTGTCGTTGTTTTGCAGTATATAGGAAGCTTATTTGATCAATCGACTACGACAGATTGGTGGCACTTCACGATTGTCCACTCTACTAGGGAGTTTTACTGTAGAGTGCCACTCAATGACTCACAGAGGCCCGTGGCCCATTATCGCAATCATCATCATCAGTACACGTTAACTGAGGGTGAGCAACACGCCTACGTTATTGTGCCGCAATAAAAGATAAGCTATTAAAAGTAACATTACAAAAGAATCCAAAAATCAGGTACTGTAATGTTAAATATTATGTTATTAATTTGTTTTAAGATTATGATTAGTGGGGGAATCTAATGGAGTGGGGCTGGATAGAGAACCTCAGCACAGACGCCATTGGAGTCGGCTCAGCCATGACAACGTGTGTGTCCAACCAAACGCGTCCATCTTCCTTCGGACCCCAGCCCGGCGGTCGGGATGCATCCACCGATGCCAAGTTCGAAGTGAGGTTTTTTATTCCTTTTGGCCAAGTCATCGCTTGGCCTCGTTCTCTTCCATCCAGGTCCCGGTCGCTCAAACAACATACGACGCGGTAGCCGATATGCCACTATGCGCGACACTTGACGCAACCATCGCAGCCTGATGCGTAATATAATAGTGCCGAGCGGTTCACTCGCTCCTCCTGAACCAAATACACAATACCAAACACACTTATTTCTTAGGCGGTGTTCCCACCAAACGTGGGCTAAGCTTCGGAGGCAGCGATGGTCGAACGTGGCTAACTGTCGACCTGATGGGTCAGGTTTCACAACCCTGTAAGTGGGTTGAACGGACGGCTGCATTATAAATTCTGCCCTTCAGGGCGAGAGTGACGTCGCATCGGCGCCACAGGTGGCCGAGATTGCTAAAAGCACCTCGAGCTTTTTCTGTACGGTTCATGACATCTTCAGTCTCACGGCGCTAGTATAGCTGCCCCGATGCTTGGATTCATGAACGACTTCTAGCTGATCACCACCAAGAGTTAGTGCTGGGATGGGTCCCTGCCAATCTTGGAGAAGTGCTTTGCACTTCTATGGGGCAATGCATAACCCGAAACGACTAACAGTCAATGCTGCCTTGTCCGCTGCTATTTGGAACGTTTGAACACTGTCATTTATGAGGGCCATCTCGTCGGCATACTCCAAGTCACAAAGTTGCCTGCCAGTAAGCAGCTCCACGCCTTGTAATTCGTGTGCAGCGAACGCTGTTCCCATGACTCGTCAGTAGCGAACTTGACAATGATTTTTCATTTATCTACCACGGCATGTAGTTGTTATTTGGTTTTCATTGAATCGCTTACGTCTCGGTTTTCACGTTCTTTGCTCCTGTGAGACAATCACTAATTGTTGTTCCTGGGGAACTAATTCCCCTTTCTTCCTGTGCATCTAGACTACTCCATCACTCTTTTGTTCAAGTTATTAAATACCAATGACCCGTCTCATCGGTCTTTTACCTCACTTTCTCAGATTGAAACACCGGATCAGTCTGCTGCCCTAGGTCTTCCTTGCGGAAAGTATACTGTAACCAATGAGTTACGTGAGGAATATCTGCCTCGCCGATTCCGCTCAATACTAGCCGCACAACAAGCGGCAGCCTCTGTTCCGATTGATGATGACTACTTGGTCTCTCAGAAACGTGCCGTAGTCGCGGTGGATACTGCCGACGATGATGCGGTGGACGCTACCTTACGTACGGATTCCGAACCACTTGACAATGAAGCACTGAACACCACGGCAGATCTGCAGTCTCAGCAGTTAGTAACTCTTGGAGGTGAGCTGGTAAGTCCCTATCTTTTCAGACCACAAATTTCCTGTCTATCCTTATGTTCTAGTTCCTCGTTGACCTCTCCCTATGCTATTTTCAGCTTCTCGTGCCGGAAGGCGGTTTGGGCGGCCCGGTGCCCGAGGAATGGTTGGCGAGTGGTGCTTTCCTTTCCGTACTTACGGAGACTGGTGAAACAAGTGATTTGGTGATGGAGGCAGCTACCGGTCGCCTTTTCCACCGACCCACTGGTCATTTGGTCAGTTTGGCTGACTCTTCGAACGTTCCTACTTCGCAACCTGACACTGTCTACGAAGAACCAGGAGCTGTACCGGACTTTGTTGCCTATGAAGACGAGGAAACTACCATTCAGCAATCAGAGGACCAGTCTGAGACCGCTAGAGAAAAGTCACCGACCACCAACGGCTCATCGAGTCCCAGCAAACCGAGGTCACGGGCTAAGCAGCAGCACCCACCACCCTCGCCACCGGAGCAGCTGGACGAGGCGGATGCCCAGCGCGAGGAACTGCTTCAACGAATTGCGCAGAGTGGGGAGGTCATTGATTTAAACACTTTATTTCCCGGGGTTTCAGTCACAGAAGTTTCTCCTGGTGTGTGTCTGGTTACCAAACCGAACGGAGACCGATTCAACGTAAGTTCTTTCGTAGCTGTCATGTTCCACCCTTACGTCTCACGATGCTTTTATGATTTTACGACTTCGTCCACTTCTGTTTCTTCTAAACTGCTAATCTGGATCATTCTTTGTGGGATTTATAAGGCATATTATTCTCCCGTTATGAATTATTTCGGTACATGTGTAATTCAGTTACATCATTTGGGGCCCAATAAACCGCTTGAACATGCTGCCATGATAGTGCTTTTTGACTACGTTACGGACTCCTTGGTCTGGCTTATCTGCTGTTTTTGTCTTACGTGCAAATACTTCATTTTCCTATACCATGAAAATTTACAACCACCGTGTACTTCGGGATCACAATGTCTATAACTAACTCTCTTGTTAGGCGACCAATTGCTGTCGCACTTTGGGTACGCGGTCCGTCGCAACGAGACTGGACCTTAACTTGGTGCGACTTTTTGCGTATCTCTTTGAGCCATTGACCTACACTTGATAGTGACCCGGAGCCCCTTGACAGCTACTCCTTCCGTGTTGGTCAATGGTTAGAGGTCATACAAACTAATTCTCCTGGTTCTCTAGGTTGGGTGTTTGTAATGGGGTGTCATCCATTTCTGTAATATTCACTTATTGCCACTTCCGCGCTGCCTTGCGGACAGGCTTTTGGGCCAAAGGCTTTGGTTGAGGACCCTAATCGTCTTGTATAGGTCTGAGCGCCCAGGCAGTATCTCAGCCACACAACCACGATTATTTCTTCAAACGTCAATCACATCGGCCGTCACGCAGATTGACAAGGGTCGCCTTATCTGCTTACATACAGCAGGGCGGATAAGCGAAAACATGCTACTGCTGGTACCTCCTTTCTTTTTCATGTTTGTCTTACTCCCCTTCCTATCCCCATTATTAACCTTCTATAATTCCCAGCTTAATTGACAGCAACCGAAGTGTCACTGGAGTAGAACCATCTGCAGCCACCTTCTCGCGACACGCACCGGACGCCTATCAGTTCTTTATAAGGCCACGCTGTCCCGTTTCCCTGGCGACCTTCAACCTTCGCACTCTAAGACCAATAGGTCAACAGGCTGCACTCGCACGCACCTTGGACACACTGGGTATTAACGTGTGTTGTGTGTCCGAAATTAGGATCAATGACCCTCACGTGGTGGTTGAACTAACTGCACCCGGCTTGTCCTCTCGCTATTTGTCGCACGCATCCGGCTACGCTAATGCGGCAATCGCCAGTCAAGCTGGAGTGGGCATCCTTCTCAGCCCCAACGCTGAGTCATCGTTATTTGCTTGGATTCTCGTAAGCAGCCGTTTATGTGTAGCCAAATGGACGACACTAACCACGGCTGATTCACGAAGCAGTGATCGACGCTGTTTGTCTGTGGTTACTACTTATGCCTCCATCGATTGCCGTTTTGATGCTTCCACGGACATTTTCTACCTCAAACTGAACACGAATATATGCAATGCGACCAGTTTAAGTACCACTGCTATTGCAGATGATACGAATGCGCAAGTAGGTCGACTAGACTCTTCAGAAACTCCGCTAGGTGGCAAGTATGGACTTAACTCCGACCAGATGGACAACGGCGAGCGTCTGTTGCAATTGTGCGCTAAGCACTGGCTATTTCTTAGTAGCCCCACCTTTAGACACAGTGGGCGGCGAAGTGCCAACTGTTGTCCCCCTATAGCTGGCCAGCGGTGAACCCAAATAGATCACGTTTCCTTAAGTTACAGATGACGTGGTTCCATCCTGGATTGCCGCTCGTTCTAGAATACATGTGTCGACTCTGATCATGCCTTATACGCTGTCGTTTCTCCACGAACTTTAGTGGGAAACGCACCAAACGTCCCCTCCGATTGGCAACTGAGAAACTGTCCCAGCCCTCGGTCCAGCAGACCTATCAAGACGCACTGCGTACCGAACTTTCGCTCACTTGTCTTAATGACACTGAGCTTCATTGGAATAGAATCTCGGCCGCCATGCACGATGCAGGAGCATCTGCTTGTGGCACTATCAGTCGTTACCGCACCAGTCACTGGATATCCGAGAGGTCGGTGAACGTGTTGGAATCCAGAAGAAACCTCCCGGCTGGCTCTGAACACAATGTAATCAGACGGACTATTAGACGCGAACTTAAGCGGAGCCTACGTGCTGACAAACAAGCATCGTGGAGCACTCGGGCTCAGGAAATGGAGGAGGCAAGGACAGTAGGCAATTACCGCAAGCTCTTCCAGCTGATCCGCACTACTGGTCCCATAACAACAGACTTCGATGAGGCAATCAGAGACAGCACGGATGCCCTGATTCACAGTAAGTAGCGCCGTATGGCGCGTTGCGGCAGACAATTTCAAGATCAATTCAGTTGGCCCGTGCTCCCGGACGTTTCTTTTCAGGTGACGCAGGGTGGGTCATAGCCGGTTAGCTTAGAGGATCCATCGGAGGCTTCGGTTCGAAACGCAATCACAGTCCTCATTCGTTTTTTGCTGCTGGTCTAGATTCCCTCTCAACTGCCTTTTTAAGGGTGGAGGTGAGGTCCTCTACAAAGCACTGACCTCCCTGTTCGAATATGTCTGGAGGGAAGAGACCATCCTGGCTAACTGAAGTGTATCGACTATAGTGGCAATGTACAAGAATGTCAGTCGCACCGACTGTGCTAACCACAGGGGTATTAGCCTAACGCCAGTGGTGACAAAATTACCGGTTTCAATTCTCGTTCGTCGCCTCACTGCGAAACGGGAACCCCGGATTAGGGAAGTGCAGGCACGTTTCCGCCCAAGACGCATTTCTCATTGGCATGTACTTTGTGATCATCACCTGTTGATACTTATTTCAAAACAAGAAACCGGGTCTCCATACCCAATTATTTTTCGCTTAATGAGCATGCCTACTTTTCACTCTTACATATGCCTGGATTTCCGACTGAGAATGCTCGCTTTGCAGCGTGATCTGTCTGTTATCTGATTGACTATCGAATTCATGCTTTATCGCATTTTAAGGTCTATTAAATCTCCATCCCTACCATTATCTCATTAGCCACAGTGGTGTCTTTTAGTTTGTTGGCTGTTCTTGATCTCTATTTGTTCTGTTTCCTCATTCCTACTGGTTGGAAGCATAACCTGGAAGTATGGAGCGAATTCTCACCTTGTCCAGTCACTTAGTCATTTTCGGAGCTTTAATAGCCGTTACTGACTGAACACTGCTGACACTGGGTGACACCCAGTATGTCCACAGCGGCAAGCTTCGCAAGCGACTGCTATCACTGTGTTATTCAGGCCATTTTATGAGATTAGCAAGTAAGACGATAATTCATTGGGTACATTCGGAACGCCCATTGTGCGAACAGTTTGCAACACGTAGTCTGAATCTGGACTGCAGTTAGCGTTGCAATGAATCACGGTCTGTGCAATCGCTGGGATTGTTTCCGAAGCAGATCACTATTAGTTCGGGCACATGATACGTTTACTCACCAACCACCTACCTTGACGTGCCTTTTTCCTTACTTGATTTATGATAGGCAAAAGCTTAGTTTACATCGGGAATCGAACTCACTAGCGACTATTTCTTTTTCATGTCTCCGCTGAGTGATTGAGAATGGATCTTTTCTTTGTGATAGATTGTCTAACGCTAATATACTAACCCTCTTCTAATTCTGATGGCTTCAATTGGTCGTAGTTGGCGATAACTAGACATACCATACATGGCATTTGAATTATGTTTGTAGCTCTTTAGTCTTTAGAACAATTTGGCCGAAATGCAACAATTCTTTTAAAGTCTCCGTACCATCGTCGATATTCGCAAGGATTTTTCTTCACATTGTAATTGGTCTATCTGCAAAAGATTGAAATTACTATTATTTTTTACTTTCTCATATTTACTTCATTGTTGACTACGACTGGGCTGATCTCTTTAAGCGACGGATTGCAGCTTCCAACCTGAAAATTTGTACCTGTGCACTGCATACTGCCGCTGACTCACTGGGGCGACGATGGATTGTGATGTATAGTGCATTATCGTCTTTCTGACATAAAAAAGAAATGCTATCTCCAAAATAGATAAATGATTGAACGGACTGGGTTGCCTGATCGCGTAACAACAGCCGTAAAATTTGTTAAACTGTTGATAACTTACTTGCGAAGTTACCATCCCGACATACAGCCAGTTGGAGCATGGAACTGCGGGTGAAAACTTGAGAGGAATATCTCTGCATAGAAGCAGGTTCCATGGATGACCATATTACTTGTTTGGTCGAATATGCATTTGTTATTGTTCCCTGTTTCTTAATTTCTCGATTACATTCAAATTGTCCATCATTTCAGAATTCCGTTCGGGATTCGTTGTGTGAAACGAGAACAGTTATCTATTTTATTCGCTATAGTTGTACAAATTGGTCAGAGCACTCGGACTGTGTCTCGCACTGTCGAGGAATATACCGTTTATTTATTTTTTTAAAGCTTGTGTTGTTCGTCCGTCTCACCTTAAGGTCCACGTGCTCCATTCAGTGTTCGACTCGAGATTAAAGAGCAGCTCGCGGCTGGCAGGTTGCTTGTTATCATCTCATTTTCAGAGTAGATCTGACGTTAATCAATCCGTGGAATAAGCTTGGTCCTATGCCGCGTGGCAGTGAATGCCACAAAGAAGCTGTTTCCTCGACGTCGCATTACATGTAGCTGTTTTTGGCTGTTCGTTGTTGACAAACTAAACGTCACTTGCTGCTGAATTTTCTCTCAGAACATTTCGATTCCACATCAGGTCCTTTTCTCTTGTTTTTATTACTCTTGTGGTTGTTTTTGTTGTATAGCAACGATGCATAAGTACAAGGTAGCATTGTGTTGCTGCAGCTGCTGCTTTTTACCAGCGCGTTTTCTGCGGTCTTAACTTCAATGTCACTACATTTCATGTCTGGACTGTCGCGCGCTGTGTTCAACACCCTTTGCGCACGTTACCGGCAAGTGTGCCTCGCTGTTTTCCACACTGTTTGTTATTCCTCGCTTGTTCTCTTCTATTTAAATCTACTCGTGTGATTATTCATTCATGTCTGCTTCTGATCACCTTGGATCCCTCTGATGTTATGGATATCACAACTTGTTTTGTTTTTTCCCACTTTCTTTAGGTTGAGCATGGCGGTGACGGCATTACCTTGGAAACACTTCAGACCATTCTTCAAATGGACTCCGAGTCTCTGAATGCGTAAATTGGACTTGACAATTTGCCATCTACCAAGTTGCTGTTGCACATATGTGTGCAATCACCACTCGTATTTTCTAAATTTTCTTCCTATTTCACGCCATAACTTCTCACTGTAAATAACGCCGCACGATTCAGTGTAGCTGTGTTCCCTGGCATTATACTAGCTTTTGTGCGCAGGGTTTTCTTGTACTTTTTGATCCGTTTCGTTCGCTCTATTTTCTTTATCATTCTCGCTTCTTGTACAAAAGATTTCATACACTGCAACGCTACCACTATAATGACTGCAGGATTGGTTACAAACCATCGACCGCCCAGCTGTACACTACTTTTCTGTCGTGCACATCCATGGATGTTTTTCTTCGATTTTTCGCCCCCGGAATTTCATGTTTTGTAGCTACTGTATGGAACTCCACATGCATCTGAAACTATCCTATCCGCAATGTTTCTCTACGAAACACTCATGCTTTTGCTAACCACTCGATTGTTTCTATTCATGCTTCTCAATTCACAACATTGGTCTCTGCGCTCCATTGTAACCGCGATTATGGAGAGGTGGCTACAGACGACTGAGAATCGACCGTCACCGTATTGACCCGTGTCAATCCTTGCATTGTTTTCAAAATCAGTCGATCGGAATGCAAACTCGCCATCGCCCCTAGCTCGCCAAAAGTCTCGTGGTAGACACATCACTAAGGTACTTTCGTGTAGTAATAGAGCCCGTGTGATTTTTCAATAGCTCATTCATCTTGGCGATAGTGGGGTCGGTCTGTCAGTGACCATGAGATCGATGTTACTGTATGGACCAGAAATTTGGTCAATTCGTACTGAAAACATGAAATTTTTGGCCGCCTTTGCTCCCCGGTGCTTTCAGAGTATTGTTCACATCTAGTGGGAACACGGATAAACTTTACTGTGGTCCACCGGTTGGTTTGGGCAAGTAACCATCTGTTGTCTCATGGAACTGTTTATTAAAACTTAATAGCTTATGTTGACTAAGCTATTTTTCATATGCACACTGACGCGCATCCTCGGCTTGCATTAAATGTTGTTGCTGCGCTTAATTCGGTGAAACCGCGTGGTGTTCAGTCGATGACGTGACATAAGGGTATGGCGAAATTGACTGAGACTTGGTCAGGCTGGTGAGTTGTTTCTTCATGGGTGTGTGCCTCTGGATTGCCTACATTAGTTTTTGATATCTGTGTCGGATATGGCGCTGCCGCACAATCAGGGACGCTCTTGTTATCGGTTTCTTGCACCTGGCAGTTAATATCCCCTCTCTTTTTATCGTGTTGACGTTCAACCTCATTTCTGTTTGTCGTCACTCTGTGACACGTGTCGTGACAATTGGATCCACCGCACTTTTGCGCCCGGGTCATACTTTAAAGACACTGATCTGAGAGCCGAATGCAAACTGTAACCAAGACGGAATCTGTTCTGAGCTGTGTTCTTAGTTTCATTGGGCGATGATTTAACCTCGTTTCCTAATGATTTGGAATATTGGTAGCTCGGGAGGCTTGCTCATTAGCTGGTAGAAAGCAAACCCAATCCACTATTGGGTTTGCTTTCTACCAGCTACTGCTACTTACCTGCTATCAATCCCGCACTGAAGATGCCACCTCGAATGGTGGCGAAACGTCTGCAACCAAGTTGCCCAGCTCAGAGAACTCCACAGCAAATGAACCCCGTCTCCTGTTTTATCGGATTCTGAAATATCCGGGTAGCTGATCATTGACTCTTCCTTGGTCTGGCTGACGCGTTCATCTAATATTATACACGGTTCGACAATCACAGATCTATGATATGAAGGCTGCGTTGAATTTTGCGCTAGCGATTTGTACGACATTAGGAGAAAAGACAACACTAGTACTTAGTACGCCTGCTTATTAACCCCACGCCTGAGCAGACGCTGAGCACGGTCATTCAGGACAGCGTTGGGATGGTAACGCAGCAGGACTGCATGAACTGCGTTCTCAATACGATGATGAACATGACGAAAGCGACAGCCGAACCACCCTTCGTCAACTGATCTTTGCTATGGTTACTGCCTTATTTTTTGTTAACACACCATTTCAATTTCAAAATGTGCGTTTTCAATATTAACAGTTGGTTTAGCGTGTAAGAGCAGGACGGTCACCGAGAATTCGAGAGCGTACGCCTGTCGGCTAGCGATTGTCGTGACACTGTTCACTCGGTCGAGCTCGTAATGACACTTTTTGAGAGTTATCTTTAGTCTTCTGAGGGCGTTGAACACAGAGGATACTGATAGGTTTATCCCATTCTCTCTCAGGCGCATCTGCAGCTGCACCAACGTGTCCTGAGAGTGCCGTTCAACCGCTTCTTCGACACGCTGCAATACATTGGGAGTCAACTTCTCCCTATTGTTTCCACCGCAGGTGCGCTCTGTATTTGAGCCTTCTCGCTTGTAGGCATTAATGATGTTCCTTGCCGTACTCGCGTTAACACCGGCGACTTCCGCGGCTTCCCGAGTAGTTTTGCCGTCGACCAGCACAAGTTTCGTGGGAATTTCTCTTTGCGCAAATGATGTTTGCCTGCAGTGCCGTAGCGTCGGCCACCAGCTCTCCTGTTGTTCGTCACTCATTTTCGTCGTTTCGTGCGGCACGGAGCTAATAAAGCTAAGTTGTGTTGAGTGGAACCATTATCGTATGCTCAGCTCCAATAGTGGTACCGCTGCATAGGTCAGTCCACACACCCAGACAAAACACACGAATTCCTATGGGGGGGGGTGTAGGGGAAAATAGGTCACCGATTTTGACCGAGGCGAACGGCACTCATGTCAAGAGAAGGGCTTACACAATCACCCACTACGTACGCAGTTCGGTTACATTATCGTGACCACAATGTGGCCTGAACATCATGTAATCGGCCCACTCCTCAGTAGTTGATATGTTGCAACAATAAACTATAGATCTAGACTGGTTTTGCTGAGGGTCATTAAAGCCTACGCTGAAACAATAACGTGGCAGTTGCGAAAGCTAATAGAGAGACGGGCGAAGCTGGGACGCCGCCTACCTGCATCATCCGACATGGTCCCATTGACCGAATCGGACAAGGTTCCCTCTAATGAGAATAACGGTGCACATTGAGATTGCGCATCGCAATCCACTCACAAAATGATTGATACACAATTACGATTCGGATGTCCGATTTTCCAATTGTCACACACCTACACAGGTTGATGCGTATGGGCACTGCACACCAACTAGGCGAATGTCAATGGGGAGAGGGGAGCGTAGTTCAGATCTTCGGTCGCTGCTCACGATCAAGCAAATGTTTTACAGTGTAGCCCGCTGCTTACACAATGCCGGTGTATTAGCGTCATCACAATGTATATTCTGAACATCATTCAGCAGTCTTATTGCTCGTTTCTTACCAACAAATTGGCGAGTTGCTACTTAGATTGCAACGTGTCCAATTTGTTTTGCAAAATGTCCAGTTTGGTTTGCAAAATGTCCAATTTGGTTTACAAAACGTCCCATGTGGTTTGAAAGATGTCCAATTTAAAGTGAAAATGGTATTATTGTTGCGGACGACGATTAGTTTAGTTAACAAAACACTTTCTGACAACTTCGCTCAAGTCACACATTATCTTAACATGGGTGTAAAGCAGCATCGGTGACCTTGCAACTATTCTTAGGATACATTCACAGTAAATAAAATGAACGCGATGTTCAGGTGAAGCGGCAACAGCTGATTTACGATTGGGCTTATCTTTTACCCGAATAACCGGTCACTACGTAGCTGTCTTCCTCCCTAGTTTTTTTGTGACCTGGACCATGCTTGACCAACAAAATAGTTAAAACTTCATGGATTGCAATCTTCAATACCTTCGCTCAGCCCCATTCTGTATCCAACAGGTTGGTTCACTTCTGTGCACTTGAGCAACTATGATCCGGGCACCGAAGTGCGTGGGTCCAGTCACCACGACTCACCTCGCCAGAAAAACAATAAACAACAACGGCAAGAGAATTTGGTTGAATGCGACGAGAATGTGGTGAAATGGACACAACAGTGGAGCGCGGTAAACTAAGCAAGATGGAATGAAAATTAACATCCAGATACAAGAAACCGAGCTATGTCATCCGCATACTCAGGGTTTGTTAATCGGTAGTATGGCAAACCCTCCGCTCTGCAAGTCTGAAGGAACAGATTCATTCATAATCATTTTGGTCACAAAGGTGACGAGGAAAGGACAACCCTAGCGAACCCCACTTGTCGTTTAGAACTCAGGTTACAGCTTCCATTAGACCCTTTTTCGGCCTCGGTTTTACGGTAGAGAGACTTCAGGACGGAAAAGAGTTTAGTTTGCACGCCCTTCATGGATAGACAGTGCCACAATGTGGCGCGGTCAACAATCGAAGGCTACTTTCAGGTCGAGAGAATCACCATGGTAATCTGTAAGTGTGTCTCTGCTCTAATATATGGTCGATGCAACCATGAAAGTGGCGAAGACCATCCTGACTTTCAATGATTCGACTCATGAGGACCCGTAGTTTGTCGACGAATGATATCCGTGAGTTTTAGGATCGTAAGTTGACCCTTATTGAAGTTGCGCGCGACAGTTGACGATCACCAGTCTGGAAGCACTTCTTCAGTATCCTAAATCGTGTTAAATAATGCAGAAAGTCCAGTAAACGAACGATCGCCTTCATCTTTCAGCCAAGATGGGGGAAGGCCGTCGGGACAAGTAGCCTTGTTTCCTTTCGGCACAGCGATCTGATGTCGCATTTCTTCCTAAGAGGGAAAAGTGACAACAACTTCCCAAGCGGGCTCAGGTGATTTGATTTTGTTGACGATGTCGCGGAAGGCCTGCTGAACTGAACTTCAAAATTTTCTTCCGACGAATTAGTCGACGATACAGAAAGGATCGGCTGTCCATCTTTCTCAGCTATTGTCTCCCTATTTGATGGCTTTCTCGGACTTGTTGGAACTCAGTACCTGTTGGCACCTGTTTCCGTGCCAGACGTGCCTCAGACGTCCATTCACATTTCGGACATCGAGTTAGGCACACAGCAGGCGTCAAAGGCATTCGTCATGGCGCACTTGAGACGACCCCAGTGTTCGGCTCACTAACCTCATTCGTTACTGACAATTGGTGGACCAGTTCGTCGCGATATTGTTGAACTGCAGACTGCGAGCTCGGGTCACATTTACGAACGTTGGAAGTCAAACCCTTCTTTGAAGTGGGAGTGTCGAGCGCCAGACGTGAGCACACCGATAGTCTTGGATTGATGTGCACCAGCTCTTGGCGACATGGTCGTTTTTGGTCAAGGTCATTGAGGAATTTGGTGGTCCCAATGTGAACATTTGTGCTGGGAAACAGTGCTGCTAAGGTAAACGTTGTGGTCGGCGCAAAATTGCAGGAGTGGACCACATTTCCTGTTCGGCGTGCATCGATCCCGAAGCGGCCTCTCAGTCTGATTGACGACCCATTTGAGCACCTGAGTCACTAGCAAGAATCTTGTTGTCAGTATTTTTTGCCATACGGCGAAGATATTGGTGGAAATCGCC